TGGTAGGTCTCAGCCCGGCACTGGTCACAGCTGGAGGTGGCACTGAGACCCCAAATGGCCCCGAAATGGCCCGAAATCCCCCTGAAATGGCCCCGAAATGACCCCAAATCAGCTCCAATCCATTCCCAGTTTATCCCAGTCCATCCCAGTTTATCCCAGTTTGTCCCAGTATATCCCAGTACCGGTTGGTAGGTCTCAGCCCCGCACTGGTCACAGCTGTAGGTGGCACTGAGACCCCAAATGGCCCCCAAATGGCCCTGAAATGGCCCCAAAATGACCCCGAAATGACCCCGAAATGACCCCAAATCAGCTCCAGTCCATCCCAGTCCGTCCCAGTCCATCCCAGTATATCCCAGTTTATTCCAGTACCGGTTGGTAGGTCTCAGCCCCACACTGGTCACAGCTGTAGGTGGCACTGAGACCCCAAATGGCCCCCGAAATGGCCCCAAAATGACCCCAAATCAGCTCTAATCCATTCCCAGTTTGTCCCAGTCCATCCCAGTTTGTCCCAGTCCATCCCAGTTTGTCCCAGTTTGTCCCAGTTTGTCCCAGTTTGTCCCAGTTTGTCCCAGTCCATCCCAGTTTGTCCCAGTCCATCCCAGTTTATCCCAGTCCATCCCAGTTTATCCCAGTCCATCCCAGTCCATCCCAGTACCGGCTGGTATGTCTCGGCCCCGCACTGGTCACAGCTGTAGGTGGCCACTCTCAGCAGGGGTCTGACGTCGGTGGCTCTGGTGACAATTCCTGACACGGTGACCAAAGCCCCGACGCGGCCGGCGCGGAGCTCCCGCGGGGACAGCGGCTTCCAGGAGGAGGGGGCACGGAAATACAGCTCACTTTGGGGTGAAAAATGGGCATTTGGGGAAAAAATGGGAATTAGAGAGGTTGGAAAGAGAAAAAAATGGGAATTTTCTGTAAAAAAATGGGTTTTTTAGTGCAAAAAATGGGGTTTGGAGAGGGAAAAAGGGGCCCGGAGCTCGCGCGGGGACAGCGGCTTCCAGGAGGAGGGGGCACGGAAATACAGCTCACTTTGGGGTGGAAAATGGGCATTTGGGGAAAAAATGGGAATTAGAGCGGTTGGAGAAAAAAAACCGGGAATTTTCTGTAAAATAATGGGGGTATTAGGAGAAAAAATGGGGTTTTTAGGGGATTTTGGGTTCCAGACTCACAATCTCCGCAGCAGCTCCGGCAAGAACTGATTTTGGGGAGGTTTTGGGGATATTTTTGGGGGTTTTTGGGGGATTTTGGGAGGTTTTTGGGGATTTTGGGGTCTCACACTCACAATCTCCGCAGCAGCTCCGGCGGGAACTGATTTTTTGGGAGGTTTTGGGGATGTTTTTCAGGGTTTTTTGGGGATATTTTGGGGTTTTTTTCGGGATTTTTGGGTTCCAGACTCACAATCTCCGCAGCAGCTCCGGCAGGAACTGATTTTGGGGAGGTTTTGGGGGTATTTTTTGGGGTTTTTGGGGGATTTTGGGAGGGTTTTGGGGGATTTTTGGGTCTCACACTCACAATCTCCGCAGCAGCTCCAGCGGGAACTGATTTTGGGGATATTGGTGAGGTTTTGGGGGATTTTGGGAAGGTTTTTTGGGGTATTTTGGGGATGTTTTGGGTTTTATTTTGGGTTTTTTGGGGTCTCACACTCACAATCTCCGCAGCAGCTCCGGCGGGAACTGATTTTGGGGGGGTCTGGGGGCTCCCCCGGCCCGGCCCCGCTGCTCCAGCAGCAGCCGATGCTCCAGGTAAACGTCCAGAGGGTCCCGGGGGGTGGCCTGAAATTGGGGAGGGGGCTCAGGTGAAACCTCAGCCCAAATTGGGCCAAAATTCCCCCGAAATCCCACTCAAAACACCCCAAAATCCCATTTTAAACCACCCCAAAATCCTATTCAAAATGCCACAAAATCGCACTCAAAATACCACAAAATCCCACTCTTAAATCCTCCAAAAACCCCAAAAAAACCCCAAAAAACCAAAAAAAACCAAAAAAAACCCTGAATAAAACCCTAAAAATATCCCAAAACCCAAATTTAGGAAATGCTGACCTCAGAGGAACCAAAAAGGGGCAGCAGCTCTTGCACAGCGTCCGAGAAGACGCGGCCGTAGCGCCGAACGTTCTCAGTCACAGCCCCAAAATCCTCCAAAAACCCCCCAAAAAAATGGAATAAAACCCCAAAAAAACCCCAAAAAAACCCTAAACCCCGAATTTAGGAATTGCTGACCTCGGCAGACCCAAAAAGGGGCAGCAGCTCATGAACAGCATCAGAGAAGACGCGGCCGTAGCGCCGGACGTTCTCTGTCATGGCCCCGAAATCCTCCAAAAACCCCAAATAAAACCCCCCCAAAAAACGGAATAAAACCCCAAAAATATCTCAAAGCCCAAATTTAGGAATTGCTGACCTCAGAGGAACCAAAAAGGGGCAGCAGCTCATGAACAGCATCAGAGAAGACGCGGCTGTAGCACCAAACGTTCTCTGTCACAGCCTCAAAATCCTCCAAAAACCCCAAAAAAACCCAAAAAAAAACAGGAAAAAAAACCCCAAAAAACAGGAAAAAAACCTAAAAAAAAAACCCAAAAAGACCCAAAGCCTAAATTTAGGAAATGTTCACCTCAGTGGAACCAAAAAGGGGCAGCAGCTCATGCACAGCGTCCGAGAAGACGCAGCCGTAGCGCCGAAC